CCATCTATTTCACAGCGAATTAACCCTCCAATACCTCGAGCAAAGCAGCCCAAGTTGTCTGTATCACGTACTTGGACCACAGGTCTGGAAAGGTAACAAACAGACTGAGCTCCCAACACCCAAGGGATGCACCTTCCAACGTTTCCAGGGAAACGTGTCCAAATAACATGGATCATATTCTGCTTTCGGGCCAAATCCTTCTGGCTTCTGGCGGGTCATTTCAGAGGCTAGTATAATATTCTGATGACGGTGTGGAGAGAAGATTGTCACAAGAAACGATCACTCGAATCAGCCTGTTAACCCCAAGGTGAGGAGCAGCCGCTTTCTAGGAGCGATGCCTCCTCTGTCGTGAAGCCAGTGTGATCCCCTAGTGACCCCAAAGGCTCTCAGGGTGGAGCCCTTTTATGCTGGGCATGCCTCCATTGTTTAATTTTTAAAATTAAATTTGTTTTATTTTGTATGTGATTGTTTTGCCTGCCTGTTTATGTGTACACCATATGCATGCTTTAAGCCCAGAGAGGTCAGAAGAGGACATCAGATCTCCTGGAACTGAAGTTAGGGATGGCTGTGAACCATCGTGGGTGCTAGGAATTGAACCTGGGTCCTCTGGAAGAGAAGCAAATACTTCCAATCACTGAGCCAACCCTCCCACCACCTATGCTTGTCAATTAACTGTAGGAGCTTTCCTAACATACCCCCAAACAGTAGTCTATAACTCATGGAAGGTCAAATTTGGAGGCCTAGGCATAAATGCGGGAAATGGGGGCTGTACAGAGTCTGGCAGTTGGCAGTTGGTAGGCAGCGTGGAGACAGCCAAGCAGAAGGAAATAAGTCAAATATAATTGAGCATATGGTATTGTTGGCAGTACGTAGATGATGGCGGTGGCCACCTAGCAGTGATGTGTGTTTGCCGTGTGCCAGGTGTTGGTCCTCACACTGACATTCATTTGTGTTTTTCTCATGCTGGGGATGGAAACCAGAGTCCCCTGCATGCTACATAAGGGCTTTAGAGCTGAGCCACGCCCTCAGAGCCTTACTGGGAGAGGGGTGTTCTAGGCAAGCACTCTATGGCTCATTCATACACCAGCCCTTCCCTGGGGGATTCTAGGCAAGTGCTCTACCACTGGGCTAGCCTATGAGATGGGCATCAGTACCTTCATTTTAAATATAAAGATATGAAGAGCCAGAAAAGTCAGGGTCTGCCCAAGCCATACTGCTGGGGTGTGGTACAGCTGGGATCCAGCAGCTAGAATGGTATCCCTAGACTTAGAATCCTTACAGATGTGTGGAGTGTCTGTCTCTCTCACTTATACATCAGAGAGGTGAAAACTGGCTCAGAGGCCAGTTCCTAGGAAGGTATGCGGCCAGTGACAAGCCTTTCTCCCCCCTTAGCCTTCGGTTTCAGCACCGCGGACAGCCCCCAGCCTCTGAATGGTGAGCAAGGCTGGGTGTAGTTGCTGCAGTTCTATTATTAATGTCTTTATTGCCGGTTTATGTGTGAATGTGTGTGGTGTATATGTATGTGGGTTATGTGTGCATGTGTGGGTGGGTGTTGGTGCCTGTGTGCATGGGCACAATGGTAGGGGAGGGCAGCAGTGTCTCGCTGTCACCGTCTCATTTTCTGGAGTCAGAGTCTCTCACTGAACCTGGAACTAAGTTGGCTGTCAGCAAGCCCCAGAGAACCTCCTGCCTCTGCCACCCATAGCACTGAACTTCTGATCCTCCTCTCTCTTGCCTCCCAAGTGCCGGGATTACAGGCACGTGCCATCAAACACAGTGTCTTTACTGGCGTTGTAGGCACCGAGCTAGAAGGCTTACTACATGAGTAAAGAAACTGCAGCTTTAGTAAAACCAGTAGTGATCCGGTTCTCAGGGCGGAGATAAACTTCAAGCAAGTTGAGTACATGCTTGCCTAACATGTACTGGGTTCTACATTCCACCCCCAGCATTGCACAAAATTGAGTGTGGTCATGCACACTTAGAATCTCAGCACTCTGGTGGTGGAAGCAGGAGGATCAAAAGTTCAAAGTCAGGCTGGAAAGAAGACTCGGTGGTTAAGAGCACTTGTGCTCTGCAGAGAACCGAGTTTGGTTCCTAGCACGTGAGTTAAGTGGCTCAGAACTGCCTGCAACTCCAGCTCCAGGGGATCTGACGTTCCTTGCTGGCTTCTGTGAGTACATGCACATGTGTGTGGATGCACGCGTGCGCGCACATACACACACATATAACCTTAAAAGTAAATCTTTTTGTTTGTTTGTTTTTGAGATAGGGTCTCACTATGTAGCTCTGGCTGTCATGAAGCTCACTCTGTAGACCAGAATGACCTTGCCTGCCTCTGCCTCCTGAGTGCTTGGATTAAAAGTGTGCGCCACTATGCCTGGATGTAAATGAATAAATAAATAAATAAATAAATAAATAAATAAATAAATAAGTAAATCCTTAAAAAAAGAAGTTCAAGGTTATCTCCAGATACATAGCAAATTCCAGGCTATCTTGGGGCACGCGTTACACACACACACACACACATACACACACACACACACATGCACACATGCACACACACCACCCTGTTTTAAAATAACACATGATTGAACATGTTGTCATGTGAACAGAGAGGAGACCACAAAGGAAGGTGCTAGGAGTAATGCAGACTGGCTTGAGCTGGAGGGTTGTCACCGAGAGCATGTTAGAAGGTAGAAAAGGCAAAACCCAGAAGCCCTGTCCTTCTCACTTATGGGAGATGAAGGAGGAAAGGAGCATTTTTATTTTCATGAGAGGCTCTAGGTTGTGATAGGTCCCAGATGTAAAGAATATGATCTTGTGGGGCTGACAAGACAACTCAGGAATTAAGGTGCTTGCTGACAAGCCTGTGGTGTGCACATGGTGGAAGGAGAGAACTGATTCCCCAGATGTTGTCTTCTCACCTCCACACTGGAGCTCACACACACACACACACACACACACACACACACACACAGTGGTAAATGTAAAACAAAGAAAAAAAGGTAAGTAAATGTTCCTCCCCTAGTAACTATTAACAGCCCACAGAGGCTCAGAAACCATTTTCAAATTGGATTTGGCATTTTTATTTATGAGTGTGTGTGTGTGTGTATGTGCACCCACCGTGCGTGCGTGCACATGTGCCAGTGCCCGGGGAGACCAGAAGTGGGCATTGGATCTCCTGGAGTTGGAGTTATGGGCAGGTGTGAGCAGACCAACAAGGGAACTGGGAGCAGAACTCGAATCCGCAAGGGAAGTTATGGGTCTTAACTGATGAGCTGTCTCTTGGGCCTCTGCTACCTTCTTTGATGACCCAATGAGTTGCATTAAGGTTGCATAGAGGATCACGAGTGAGGGATTATTTATAGAAGCATATGTGTCTCAACAGTGGTACACCATTAAAGAAAAATTCAAAAAATAATTTATTTCTATTTCATGTGCATTGGTGTTTTGCCTGCATGTATGTTTGTGTTAGTGTGTCAGATCTTGGAGTTACAGGCAGTTGTGAGCTGCCATGTGGTTGCTGGGAATTGACCCCGGGTCCTCTGGAAGAGCAGCCAGTGTGCCGTAATTACCGAGCTATCTCTCCAGCCCCATGAAAACGTTATTTTTCATTGGCCGTCAAGATGAGTCTCTGGATAAAGGTACCCACTGCCAAGTCTGGTGACCTGAGTTCGATTTTCAGCACCCACATGGTGTAAGAAGAAAAGTAACTCCCAGAAGTTGTCCTCTGACCTCCACAAGCACACCCTGGCATGCATGTACACTCACATGCTCATGCAGATACACACACACTTGTATAAGCACATGAGTAAAAAAATCGCTCTTCTTTCCCTAGCAATCATTAACTGCTCATAGAGCCTCAGAGAGTGTTTTCTTCTCTTTTCTTTTTCCTTCCTTCCTTCCTTCCTTCCTTCCTTCCTTCCTTCCTTCCTTCCTTCCTTCCTTCTTTCCTCCCTCCCTCCTTTCTTTCTCTCTCTCTCTCTCTCTTTCTTTCTTTCTTTCTTTCCTTTTTCTTGAGCTCACTATGTAGCATGACATTCCTCCTGTTTCAGAATCTAGAATCACTGATTAGGCTTTGGTGGAACTAAAGTAGAGAGAGTTGGGGATTCAGGAAGATACTTGCTCTTGAGCTGGTTCCACTGGCAAGAGAAAGACCAGAAACCTTTCCCCCAGCCTCTTGCACAGCCTCAGAACTGAGTAGAAAAGGATCATTAGCAAGGGGGTTACCCCCCAGACTGTATCCTGTAGGATTAACTGATATCTTTTGCCATCTCTCCAATTCAACATGCACCGTTTTCTATACTTTTTATTTTTAGTTCCCATGCTTGAATTTAGGACCTCCAGCATGCTAGGCTAGTGCTCTAATGCTGAGCCCCAACTCCACACCGGAGGCTTCAAGGCAAACATTCTACAACCACACAACTGCAGTCCCTCACTAGGGGCTTCTAGGCAGGTGCTCTATCACTGAGCTACACCCCAGCCCCTCACTGGGGGATTCTAGGCAGGGGCTCTACCAGTGAGCCAGACCCCAGCCCCTCTCTGGGGGATTCTAGGCAGGGGCTCTACCACTGAGCCAACCCTGTGCCCATTGACATTTGGGTTTCTAGGACACATTACACGCTTACTCTGGAGTTCATTTCACAGGTGGGAATAACCAACCCACAGATTAAGTTGTAGCTTGCCTGTGGTCACACTGTCAGTCAAGGGCAATGCTGGGGTCTGAACATCTCTGACACACCCTGGTTTATAGCCATGATCCTTGGTCTGACATCTGGGCCCTCCTGCTGCTGACCCATACGGGACCCAGGTGGGCAACAAATGGCTTTCGGGGACCTCAGGTGTGTACATGTACTCTGGTTCAGGTCAGAACTTCCTATGAACAGAGTCCATGATCTCTCCTTCACTCACCCCAGCCCGTAATGGACAAGCCTCCCCGCCCAGGCACCCAGCTGCAGCACGAGATGCCCCCTCCCTTTCTGTCACCAGGCAGTACTCACATGTGGGCCCCAGGCCGGTCTTCCCTGGTCAGTACGCCCTCTTTCTCCATCAGCATCTGCCGGAAGGTCCCAACCTTCTGCCGGATCTCCTCCTCTAAGTACCTGTGGGGCACAGGGACCCGGAGGGCTCACTGCTAATTTTAGGTCACTCCTTCAGCTCGCTCCCACCTGCTCTCCAGTCCTTGGTCACAGTGCATGCTCTCATTGGCAACTGCTTTTTTGTAGGAGTTCTGTTATTCTCTCTCAATGTATCCTCTCCATCCCCCTTCTCCCTGCCCTCCCCTCCCCACCCTACCTTCTGCTTTCTTTCAGCCCACCCTTCCCTCCCCTGTTTCCCCTCTTTTCCCCCTTTTCCTTCCCCTCCCTCCTACTCATTTGTTCTTCCTTCCCCTTCCTCTGCTTTCCTCCCCCTCTTCCACCCTTCCACCTCCTCTCCTCTCTCTGTATTTTATATTTCTCTCCCTCCTTCTTTTCTTAATAATGTTTATTAGGCTCATCTAACAAACATTGAAAACTTTGCATTACTATTTTTTTTTTTTGAGACAGGGTTTCTCTGTGGCTTTGGAGGCCTGTCCTGGAACTAGCTCTGTAGACCAGGCTGGTCTCGAACTCACAGAGATCCGCCTGCCTCTGCCTCCCGAGTGCTGGGATTAAAGGCGTGCGCCACCATCGCCCGGCTTCCATTACTATTTTATATATGAGTGTTTTGCCTGTATGTACATCTGTGAAACACATGTGTGCCTGGTGCCCAAAGAGGCCAGAAGACAACAGATCCCCGGCAACTGGAGTTACAGATCCTTGTCAACTGTATGGGTGCTGAGAATCAAACCCAGGTCCTCTGGAGGAATAGCTGGTGCTCTTAACTGCTGAACCATCTTCTCAGTTCCTCATTTTTTTGTAACAGTCTTGTTATGTTGATGTGGGATTCCCCTCTGTGTTCTGTGAATGCCGTTGGTTAATAATGAAACTGCTTGAGCCTGTTTGGTAGGGTAGAAAAGAGCTAGGCGGTTTGTGGGGCAAACTAAACTGAGTGCTGGGAGAAAAAAGGTGGAGTCAGGAGAAGCCATGTAACCCCACCTGGCTCACACATACATTTTTAAAAATACTTTTTAATGTTTTATTTAAAGGGCTGGGTGTTTTCAAAACCCTGTCTTGAAAAAAAGTGTGTGTGTGTGTGTGTGTGTGTGTGTGTGTGAATGTATGCACACATATTCAGGTGCCCACAGAGGCCAGAAAAACACAGCATTAGGTTCCTTGGAGATGGAGTTGAAGGCATCTTAAATCGTCTGAAAGCTCTGAACTCTGTCTTTGTGACTGAGCAGCCAGGTTTTTTTTTATTATTATTATTTTAAAGGCAGGATCTTACTATGTAGCCCTAGCTGTCCTGGAACTCACTGTGTAGACCAGGCTGGCCTCGAACTCACAGAGATATACCTGGATCTGCCTTCTGAGTGCTCAGATTAAAGGCATGCACTCTCATCCCTGACCTTGGGTCTTTGTTTTTGAGACAAGGTCTCACATAGAACAGGCTGATCTCAAACTTGCTGTGTAGCCAAGAATGACCTCGAATCCCTGATCCTGGTGCTCAGGCTCTGCAGTGCTGGGATGTCGTACAATGCACCACATCACCTGGGTTTATGTGGTGCTAGGAATGGAATCCAGGGCTTCACGCATACTAGGCAATCATTCTACCAAATAAGTCACACCCCAGCCCAAAGTCTGGGTTTTTATTGAAACTTGAGGTATGTCATTATAGGGGCCAAGGGCTCTCTCCAGATCCTGTAGACCCCAGGCAAGTGCCTACATTCAGGCTTGTGTTCATTGCTAGTTGGGAATGTTGGACTAAAACCAACTATCATGGTATTCTTTAAACAGTCTTTCAAGTTTATTTCATTTATCTAAAAATATTTTGGGTCAGGCATGGTTGTCTTTAATCCCAGCCCTCAGAAGGCAGCCAGGGGGAATTTCAGCTAGTTTGAGGCCAGTCTGGTCTGCATATAAATTATATATTTGATTGCATATGTGTGCATGTGTGTGAACCTACATACACATGTATGTGTGCGCATTCGTGTGTGCATGTGCTCATGCATTTATGTGTATGAGTGCATCCATGCATGCGTGTATGTGTGCCTATGTGCACACCTGTGTGTCTATGTGATCATGCGTGTGTGTGTGCTTGCACGTGCATGTGACTGAAGACAGGAGTGACTTCCGAGGCCAGCATTACCCGTTGCAGTAACTAGTTCAAGGGGAAACCTCAACTTACAGTGTTAAGGGGTCACGATGACTTAGTAGGAACTGTAGGAAGCCTGGATAAGGACCCCTGTGTTTTCTTGCCTGACTTGGCATCTCTATACATTTTATAGATTGTGGAAACGGAGGCCTTGAGTTGTCACATATGTTTATATGTGCTTCACGACATTGGATGTATCCAGGGCATGGGGATGCATCTCTGTGGCTCCTGTGAGTTGGGTCTTAGTCTAGAGCATCAGAGACAGTTTCTGAACTGTCTGAACTGACAGATAAATGGAAGGTGGCCTGGGTTTGTGGCTCCACTTAGCTGGTCCAGACCCTACCTCCTTGCTGGATTGGGCTGTTGACTCCCAGAGCTCTCCAGATTCAGCCCCAGGCTACTAGGTACCCAGGTCTCTCTGAACACCCTCATCCTATTCCAACCTTGCCTTCTTTCTGCTGGGACCTTATCTTGCCCAACCCACATCAGCACTGCAGACTAAGATCAACCTTCAATCAGTCTCCTCAGACGTGGGACCTGCCACAGGCTTGATCAGACCCTGGTCACATCCCAGTCTAGTTTCTTAATCCACTCACCGTGCAAAGCCAAGCAAGCTCCCTGCCTAGTCCAGTCCTGCTCTAGGCCACACGTTACCATGCTGCACCAATATCCTGGGCACAGCTCCATCACTTCCAGGTCAGCTCACCTCACTTAGAACAGCTAAACCCCTTGTTGATGTACCAAACTCCCGGGTGCAGCCCAAACACATGTCCATCCCTGCCCTATAGCTCCCCCTCCCCCCCCCCAGCCTACCTTGTCCAGCACACTCTAGCCCTGCCAAACCAAGTCCCTGGACACAAGTCTGCCAAGTTCACAGTCACATCCCTGTCCTGGCCCCACCACATCACACTCCAGCCACAGCGCCTTCCAAGTCCAGACTAATATAACCTCAGCACTTCTCAGGGGAACAAAGCTTGACTATCACCTGCCCACGCCCCCTTGGGGAGTTTAGCTACACCCCTACTCCGTCCTTCCTCACCAAGCTCCAGAGCACAGCTCAACCACTTACACCCACACCCCTACTCTGGCTTCATCCTATGTCTTCCCAACCGGACACTCTGCCTAGTCCCGCCTCTCCCTCTGCACCCAGGCTCTGGGCACTGCTGGATCATTCTCTGGTCAGAGTCGCTGCATAGACTGGCCAGGCTCATCACAACCATACCAACCATACCTACCCTGTCTAGTCCCGCCCTACCCGCTTCTTCACCGTGCCCAGAGCACATCCCAGCCATGCCCCTACTCTGAGTACCAGGTACTCAGACTCCGGTCTTGCCCCGCCTCACCCTTCTCTGATTCCGCCCACTGTATCCAACCACGCCCCCTGCTGTCTGCCCCGCCCTCCTGCCCCAAGTCCCAGAGTGTAGTGCAGCTTAACCACGGTCCTACCCTTCCTCGTCCTAGCCCCGCCCCACCACGCTCTAGCCCCGCCCCACCACGCTCTAGCCCCGCCCCTGACGACTCCAGCACTAAGTCCAGAACACAACCTGACCTCGCCCCGCCTCATCTCCCCTGGCCCCGCTCCTCTCGCCCCGCCCCGCTCACCCCTGTTCCTCCATCATCTCCTGCAGCTCCATGCACTTGAGCTCCACGCGCCGCTTGCGTTCGTGGTCCAGGATCTCCCGGTGCGCGCGCTTGACCAAGCCGGGCTCGGCGGCGCGCAGCTCCTCCTCCGGGCGCGGCCAGGTCCCGGACGAGGCGCCGGGCTGCGGGAAGCCGTTGGCGGCGTCGGGCGGGGATGGCAGGCCGGCAGCCCCATTGTTTACGGTGGAGGACATGACAACGGTCCTGGGCGGCAGGCCCTGCGGCACAGACAAAAACACAAGGCGGGGTGGTCACCTCTCGGCCATACGCTGAGCTTTCACTATACGACTTAATCCTGAAGGTTTAGGGCCCACTCGCGGCTCTAATCCGCTTGCTCTCAGGCTGTAGAGGGAGGAACGATGACAGGTTGGCACCGTCACTTCAGGACGTGAACGTATTTCACGATAGTCTTTTCCCATCTGTAAAGTGGGTGGGTGCAGACTGGGTCTTTGTGTTTTGTTTGTTTCCACTTGATTTTTTTTCTTAGACAAGTTCTCCTATATCCCAGCCTGGCCTCCAACTCTTTATGTGGTCAAGTATAACCTTAAACTTCTGGTCCTCCTGACTCGGTCTCCTAAGTGCTGGGGCTACAGGCACGTGCCACCCCACTGTGGTGGGATGTGGTGCTGGGGATGGAACCCAGGGCATTGTACATGCTAGGCAAGCGCATTACACACTGCCCCAGTCCCTCCAGTCCCAATGAACTTTAAAGAAAATCTATGGAACCAGACACACAGCTTGGAGGGTAAAGGCACCTGCCTAGCCTGATGGCTTCAGTTCAAAGCTCAGAATGCAAATCATGGAGAAAACTGACCTCCACACAGAACACAATAATAAGTATTACAAAACTTCTTCATCTCTTTCTTTTTTCCCCTTTGTGTAGCTCTGGCTGTCCTTGAACTACCTCTGTAGACCAGACTGGCTTCAAACCCAGAGATCTGCCTGCCTCTGTCTCCTGAGTGCTGGAACTAAAGGCGTGTGCCACCATACATAGCCTTTGAATATGAATACAAATTTAAAAAAATCTTATTTTCTGGTGTTGGGATCGAACCCAGGACTACATGAATGACAGGCTAGCAGTCTGCCACTTCAGCCTTTAATATATATAATATATAATATATATATATTAGTGATGCCTACGTTTAATCCCAGCATTAGAGAGGCAGAGGCAGAGGCAGACAGATTTCTGAACTTGAGGCCAGCCCGATTTTCAGAGTGATTTTTCGGGACAGCCAGGGTTACACAGAGAACCCTGTCTTAAAAACCAAGCCAAAACAACAATAACCAAATAAGCAAAAATAAGATATTACAGGGCTCGATAGTGCATGCCTTTGATTCCCAGCACTTAAGAGGCAGAGGCAGGCAGATCTCTGAGGTCAGCCATGTCTACAGAGTGAGTTCCAGGACAGTCAGAGCTACAAAGAGAAACTCTGTCTCTAAGAACAACAACAACAAAATAACGCGAAATAAAATAAAAGATATTAAGACTTATTTTCTTTTATGCGAGAGAGTTTTGCCTGCCTGCATGTATGTGTAGCACCCGTGTTGCTTAGCGCTTGAGGTCAGAAGAGGATAATAAATCCTTGGAACTGGATTTATGGGTAGTTGTCAACTACCATGTGGGGACTGGGAATCGAACCCCAGTCTTCTGCAAGAGCAACACACAAGTCCTCTGGTTCGCTGAGCCACCCCTCCAGCCCAGCTTCAGCCTTTCTGTTTGTTTGTAGTTCCTGGCATTCAAACCCAGGACCTGGTACCTGCTAGAGAAAGTGCTTAATATCTAAGCTGCACCTCCAGTCAGCAGGCTCATAGCCTGGGTGCTGTTCTGGTTCTCTTCAGTGTTCTGACTTCTGGTCTGCATCCACAGCAACCCTGCAGAAATGGAGGTTTCCCTACGTTTTATTCCCTTCCTACTCTGGGTGCAGTTTTCAGTTTCCACCACATCTGGCTAACTTTTCCAAAGCTAACATCACAGGGGGTAGTCTCAATAAGACTATCTCTTCCTTGTTCTGGAAACGCTGCCCCCAAAGACTGCCCAAGGTGACATGGAAAATTAGCTTTCCCAGCAGCCATGTCCTCTTGCGTGCTAGGGGTGGAGTGGGTCTGGAGGCAATAAATGCTAGGCCAAAAGTAGAACACACACACACACACACACACACACACACACACACACACACGACCTCTATCTTAACAGAGGGAACCGCCTCCTAAGCTATTCCCGGGTCCTTTCTCCAAGGCTCTCCTAGTTGCTAAGCAACTGAAGACCTCATTCTCAGGGTGTGGGATGTGAAGGATACAGGGAAGGGTTGGGCAAGTGCAGTTAGGAGCCATCTCAGCAACACCCTTTCCTCTCGCCGCACTGGGGATGGATTTGGGGTTTTGCACATGCCAGACGAGCACTGTACCATGTGAACTACAACCCCAGTCTCAATTAGCTTCTTTAAAAATGGCCTGGCTACCTGGCCTGGACAGATCGCTCAGAAGTTAAGAATGCTTGGTGCTCTTGCAGAGGACCTGGGTTCAGTTCCCAGCACCCATATTGGGCTGTTCACAGCAGTCTGTGAGTATAGTTACAGGGAAACCCATACCCCTTCTAGACTAGCAGACACACAAAAATAACCTTTAAAAAAATTCTTATTCTGGGGCTGGAGAGATGATTTAGAGGTTAAGGGCACTGGCTGCTCTTCCTGAGGTCCTGAGTTCAATTCCCAGCAGCCACATGGTGGCTCACAACCATCTATAATGAGATCTGGTGCCCTCTTCTGGTGTGCAGGCATACATGTAGGCAGAATACTATATATTAAATAAAATCTTTTTTTTAAAAAAAAAGGAGGAAAGAACCTCTTATTCTGGGCCTGAAGAGATGGCTTAGACATTAGGAGCACTGGCTGCCCTTCCAGAGAACGTGGGTTCAATTCTCAGCACCCACATGGCAGCTCACAGCTGTCTATAATGCCATTATATGAGATCTGGCTTCCCTTTCATGGATATACCTACAGGCAAAACACCAATGCGCATAAAATAGCAATTAATTATTTAAAAATTCATATCTAGCTGTGTGTGACACATTCCTTTAATCTCAGTGCCTGGAAGGTGGAGACAGGTGGATTTCTGTGAGTTGGAAGCCAGCCTAGTCTACATAATAAGTTTCAGGCCAGTTAGAGCTACATAGTAAGACCCTGTCTCCAATAAGTACATAAATGAGGATTAAATTTTCTACTCTTGCTGAGAACCACATCTATGGGAAAGTAGACAGGACTGTCCGAAGAAACTCTGCTCCTCTGCTCTTAGCTGTGTGACCTTGAGGATATTGCTGAGCCCCTGATTCCTAACTGCAGATAGGCACACCACCCACATTCTGTGGGCTAGGCCAGTTCCTGGGGGCTTAGAGAAGGAAGTTGTTCAAAGTGGTTAATTTTAATTGTCAATTTGATGTAATCTAGAGTCGTCATGTGGGAAAGGAGTCTCAGTGAGGGACTGTCCAGTTTAAGCTGGCTTGCCTCTCGTGGGGGTTATCTTAATTGAATTCTTTAAAGTGGGAAGGCCAGCCCACTGTGGGCGGCACCATTTCCTAGGCAGGGAATCCTGGACTGTTGAAGAGTGGACAGTGTGAGCTGCGCACTGGCACGCAGGCACCGATTCCTCGCGCTCTGCTCTTGGCTGGGAATATGATGAGACCAGTTGCTCCAGATCCCTAACACTCGACCTCCCTGCAGCGATGGGCGGTAACCTTGAATTGTGAGCTTTTCCCCCTTTAAATTGCTTTCTTCGGAGGCAATGCTTTTTTGACAGGGTCTCGTTATGTAGCTCTGACCTGGACCTTGCTTTGTAGACCAGGATGGCCTCAAATGTACAGAGATCTGCCTGCCTGTGGCTCTGAGTGCTGGGATTAAAGACTCGCAATACAACTTCTGATCTTTGTCAGAGTATTTAGCACAGCAACAAGGAATTAAAACACTGTCCAAATCCGTCTCTCTTCCTCTCCAACCTTGTCAATTCCCACTCCCGCCCGGAACAGCCCTGAATCCCAAACCCTGTTCTACTCAGGTACACACACACACACACACACACACGCACGCACGCAATAAAAATAAAACACAAAAATTTGATCCCGCCGGGCGGTGGTGGCGCACGCCTTTAATCCCAGCACTCAGGAGGCAGAGGCAGGCAGATCTCTGTGAGTTCGAGGCCAGCCTGGTCTACAAGAGCTAGTTCCAGGACAGGAACCAAAGCTACAGAGAAACCCTGTCTCGAAAATCAAAAAAATAAAAAATAAAAATTTGATCCCTCACCTCTCTCTTATGGCTCCCATTCATCCACTCATTCTCTTCCCCTGGTGTCATCTGCATCTCAGATCCTGCCGGGCCTCCCTGCCCCCAGACCCCTATCTTCCCTGAGCCCCCCTGGAAGATCACCCGGGGCCACATAGGCTGAGTCACGTCTTGACTTAGACTCGAGATGCCCTGGTATCTTGTCTTATCACCGTGACACAGTCCCGCCTCAGGGTCTAGCCACGTACATCTTCCCCACCAGGCCTGCCAACATCAGCCCACTCTCTCATCATTCTCTTTGTCTGTGAGACGCATTCACCCCATAGTCCGCACTGACCTTGAATCCCAGGTTCACCTTCCTCCTCCCTCAGCCTTCTGAGCACTACAACTTCAGGCTTTAGCCACCAGGCCGAGTTCCCAGGATGCCCTCTCCCAGACTCCTCATCAACGCTCATAGACGCCATCAGCTCTCAGGAGACTTTTCTTCCCTGCCGGCTGGCACCGTCCCCCGCAACCCCTTGACACTCGCTGCTGCCACTGTAGATTGGCAAGCCTAGGGGAGCCTTGGGGCTTCTGAATCCCTACTGCCAGTCAAGTGCCTGTGCGAGAGGAGCTCAGTGAGAGGGACTGAAGAAATCAAAGGCCATTACAGAGGGCCGATGGGATAAGAACACATGGCACAGTCAGTCCTGCGGTCGCACACTCTTCCCCTTGTTCTGCCTTCTTCTCCTTAAATTACTGTGATGGGGATGGAAGCCAGGGTCCTCCCCAAGCTTGGCAAGCTGTCTGCTCCTGAGCCACGCCCTCAGCCCCACACTGGGGGATTCTAGGCAGGGGCTCTACCACTGAGCCACACCCAGCCCCCTCACTGGGGGATTCTAGGCAGGGGCTCTGCTGCAGAGTTGGGCTCCCAGTCACTGGCA